AAACGTTTTCTATTGCTTAAATGGTAAATTAGAGGAGGGGTATGCGATTGGCGTGATGTACAACGAGTGATTCCCTCTCCCCATCAACCCCACACTTTTTTAAAACTTTCCGCTGCCTATGTAGCCCGGAACATAAAATATAGCTAAACTGATGATACCTTGTTTACCTTATAAACTGATGAAAGAAACAGTTGAAAAGCTGTGGTATGGATTCTCAGTTTGTTTCAGTAGTACTTTATTTATTTTTAATGATATTTCACCAGTTGATTTTCTTGTATTAAAATTATCACCAAGTTAACCTGAAGTAACTCAAACACATACCACTCCGTTGCACTTGCATTCTGCCAGAGTCGACAAAACAAACGCTGTCATGGCAACGTCTCCCTCGTTACCGTATATTCCTCCCTTAAATAAGAAAAGAATTTAAATGCGTGAGAAATAGGCCTTAGTTTATCCATTTACAAAAACATTTAATTAATATTTAGTTGAATGCATCAAGGATTTAAATGCCAATATTTGTCCGAACGGTCAGCATCTATTTGCAGTCCTCTAAACAGTTTTGGCCACATAAATGTGATCAGAGAACCTAAGTCCACAACCCACTTTCTCGGAGATTGCCCCATCAGGTTCCTGTATAAATCAACTGGAAGGTGACCCTAGCCTGAAGCAGAATAGCCCCCATCAAAGGCAAAATAAATTAGTAATTTTATTACTGAGAACCATATATTTATTCCCTACTAAACTGCGGTAAAATGTACGGGCGTTTTTAATTCGTAAATTAATTTTAACACACTTCATTTGTTAGCTTGTGCAGTAACATTACTTTCCATTGTCTTCTTTTCGTTACGCAGACAAACATTCGCTAAGAATTGCTTCGCGACAACCTTTATAGATCCCGAGTTCCATTAAAGGTAACACTACAGAGCTTACATACCACCATCTCTCTATGAATGACATGGTGGACCTCTGGGAGGGCACCATCTCCGCGCTGATTCTGAATTAACCACTGCACTGACTCACAAACAAGGTTTTCATCCACATTGATCCCAGGAAACTGTTTAGCCCGGCAAAATACTCTCATCACAAAAGCTGTCAGCCTTCAAACAGAAAAAAAGCAAGTGAAGTATAGATAGAACTGCTGCCCGGGTTAAAACTTGTTTCGCAAGCAGTCTGTTAACTAGAAAATGACAGGCTCTAGAAAGATTAAAGATATCCAGACAATGATAAAGCACTGAATATTTACAAACCATGTACTTCCTGGTCGCCTGTTTCCAAAAGCGCTAAAGGACTTGTCATTGCGACGATAGTTCAGTTCTCTTTGGTATCCTAGAAAAGCGTCAGGGATGGAAATACAGTCGAACCTCTATTTAGCGACCAAGTTAACTCAAGAAAGGGACAATTAGCCGAGAAATTCTGTGCATAAGGAATAAACATCTAGACAGGTCGCCCTTCTAGCCGAGTCAACTTTTTTTTTCTAGTTTAAACGCCTTGCCAAATTTTATAAAGAAAATGGAAGAAAATGTGGTTAGCCCAGGGTAGGCGGTGACTTTTCTACCCTGTATAACGGTCAAGGTGAGACAATCAGAGCATGCGTGAAAGCTGTTGGTTCGGGCAGAGGGATCAACCTTTTTGTCACATAAAAGATCGCTTCAGTTGACTCGGATGACCGGGTTACCCTTCTTCCCGCGGGCCGGGACAGGTTTTCTCCTATAAAAAGGGCCTGAAGAGAGTTTTGCTACTTAGTACAATACCCCTCGCTGGGCTGGTGCCTTCGTTTTCGTTGGCCTTTGAAAACAACGCCGCTATTGGTTTTAGGCATAAGGGACATTGTGTGAGTCATACATCGATTGGTTCGATGGCTAATATTAGACAACACGTTCTGAGAGCTTCATGATAGGCCCTAAAAGAGATTTGACTTTACCACGATCGGTATTATAACACAATAATTGACTTAAAATATTCACGGTAGCACTTTTTTGTGCCTTAAGGGTGAGGCTTTGATAAGACAAAAATACCCAAATAGTATGCGTCCCGCGTTGAATTTAAACGCTATAACCCTGAGCTCACCAGACTGAATGAAACGATAAGCATTTTCCTCACTGTTCCCAGATAGCTGCTTGGTAGCACTCAAATATCCTAAAACGTAGACGTTCGGAGCAAGATAAATCATATTTTGCTCCCCACATCCAGTGGGTTGACGGAAAAACTTCTCCAGGCCACCCTGGATAGTAGTGTTGACAACAGGTCCAAGCAGGTTTCCTAAAAAAAAAAATCGAAAACTGTTGTTACAAGAAGCGCGAAAATAATCTCCAGCCACCTCTAGTTAAAATTAAAGAAGTTCTGAACCCTCTGGGTAAAAATTTTTAATCTTCGCTCAAACAACTGAGAAACTGATTACAACTGAGCAACCCAAAATTGTCCCACTAAACTCTTTTTTAGATAGGTTTATTCTGTTGTTATGATGAACTGTTATGCAAGAAAAACGACCATGTTTCGCACATCAATCATTTCGCATTTTACTAGTTGGTACTATTATTATCCCACGGATAGACAGACAGACTTTCTTAGCTCTTTTGGTTAATTTACCAATTTACAATCTGCAATAACATTCTCTTTAGTACACAAAAAACGACTTACAGATGAACTAAAAATGTACTATAAGACTCTGGGGGCTAAGTTAACTAGCCAGGACGATTTCTAGTTGTAACTATTTAGTTCAACTGAGATGCGCTTTTAGACGCTTGTTTAAAAATCTGACGTGCAAAGGGAGATATTTCCAAAGATCGATTGCCATAAACGAAATTACTGTTTAGAGATTACGTTCTAATTAGCTTCGCTCAAACGAACGTAAATTATTTATCGCTTAAATAACCGCAAAACCAGGTAAAATCAGATATGAGTGGATCAAGTGCGGCCCTAACCATAGGCGCGACGCCTGAAGGCGACAAACTGTAAAAAAGAATTCGAGGCTAAATAACGGTGGAAAATATATTTTCACTGCTAGCGTATCTGGTGTTGTAATTATGCAAACCCGATCGCTAAGAAAAAGCTTGTTGTATTGATCGAAAAAAATTACACAGTGCTGAAAAATGCTATAAACCACTCCGACCAACATTTATTGTCATAAAAACACTTTAAAAAATTATTCTATCGCTAACTGACAAGCAAGGGGAAATAAGGGATACTTAAAGTACGTGCTTCGGAAACTTTAAATTCCATTCATGCCTCGGTTATCATTTTGGTTTACGGTCTCTTCGATCCATGGTCAGATCGTCCCAAGCCAGATCGTTCCATTTTAAAGTGTCAGATCGTTCCACAATTTCAGTGTAAAACTTGATGTGAAGGCGCGCTTTTTTTGGCTTCTTGGCTTAAAGAACGAGCCCCCCTTGCGCTGGTGCTCAATAAATTCTTCGCGCTCGACGGACTTTGAAGAGAAAATAGAGGGTCTGTGAACAGGCTAGCTAAGCTATTAGCAAATCTCCTTAAAGTCAGGAGAAAGAGAAAATAATCTCTGCGCTCACGATTGACTGTTTTGACTGAATATCCTACCTGTCAGGTAAACGAATGCTCCAACTGAGGCAGGAACGGCATCCTTATGGGACTTCAAATCAATGCTAAATTCAACAATGTGTAGAGGTCCATCACGTCTCAAAGATTCTGCGGTAAAATACACTAAAGTTGTAAAAGACACGAATAAAGTAACTGACGAAAGTAGAAGTAAAATCCCTCACTCATAACAGACGCTTTAAATCACACCATCAAGCAATTTCAGACTTATTGACCGTGAGATACACTTTTAAAATGTTGGTTCAACGAAAGCCCTTGTTAAGCTCTTTTGCATTACTTATGTGTTCTTCTACACTTTAAAGAGGTAGTTTGCTATTTCAGGGTAATTTAACATAGGGCAGCCCACTACTTTTTCCTGTAAAATAACAGTTCAATGGAGTAGAATATTGCCTAAAAAATTATTTTCTAAAGCTGGCAAAAGGCGTAAAATTTCGGGATAACCGTACGTTACATTCGTCGTAGATATTCGACGTTTTTCTACTAGCTTACCTAAGATTTTCAAAGTTGTGTTTTCCTTTTTATCATTTCCAAGGTTATTATTAAAGAAAGGTCTCCTGAAAATGTCGGTCTTAAGAAAAAGCGTCCCCTAGATTCTTCCGAACAGACAATTAATTTTTAGGGAAGCTCCAAATTAACCAAAGAGGTTTGAAAAGTCAAGTGTAAAGAAACCAATTTAAACGAACACTTCTAACGTACTTTAATAAAAAATAAATAAATATAAATAAATAAATAGTGATTTGGAGGTAGCACATCCGCAAAGTGGTTCTTCGTCTACCTGATTCCTGGTCGAATTGGTTTTTGAGGAGAGGGGAAAACCGGGAGGCGAGCGCTCTCACCCCGGAGCCATCCCTTGCTCCCCAAATTTGAAAACATTCGGTCGTTGGGTGCCACTGCATCATTCTTACCAGCTGATAAGACAGACCTCAGTCCACCGATACCATGTGTACAAGATTATAAATTTTGAAATTGACTAATCATTTTCTCTCAGGTATAGGGCTCCATTAATTATATTAACGACATTTCTTGTGGCAACTGATACTCGCCCTAAGTGAGGGAGTCCGCATATTCCGGAATCTGGGAAATTTTTGCTAGTGGAATCCGGAATACAGCTCAAGGAATCCGGCATCCCTACTAATGGTTGGAATCCACAATCCAAGTTGCGCTAACAACGAATCCGGAATCCAATCCCTGGAATCCATAATCCAATACTTGGAATCCGGAATCCAATACCTGAAATCCTGAATCCAATACTGGAATCCTAAATCCAATCCCTGGAATCCGGAATCCAATGCCTGGAATCCGGAATCCAATGCCCGGAATCCGGAATCCAAACCCTGGATGATCCGGAATCCAATCCCTGGAGTCCATAACTCAAGACTGTCTTGGATTCCTTTGCAAGGGGCGATGTTACAATTATTATCTAAAAGTGGCAAAATTCGTACTTTGGCTTTGGAAGACTGCTTGAGTGGGCTTGACTGCTTTCTTTTCTGCACTGTTGCTTTTATCGCTAAGATGACCTAAAATAAAAATGTTAATTGAATTAATCTTTTCAACAATCAGTACACAATATTGAAATCGAAAAACATTTAACCCCAAATCTAAAAAATATACTCGTGGTTGGTTGATGCGATTACTATTACTATTACTATTATTATTATTAATATTATTATCATTATTATTATTATTATTAGTTAGCACTGTTGTCAATAAAATTTTTTCAATTTTAAAAATAAAATTATTACTATTATTATTATTATTATTATTATTATTATTATTATTATTACCATCATCATCATTGTTACTCTTATCGTTATCGTTGCTGTTGTCGTTATCATTATCATAATCATGATCATTACTATTATTGCATAATTACTACTAATAATTCTGAAGTGTTTTATTATATAAGGGGTTGGTGCTAAATTTTGGTTGTAACATTATTTAAAAATTACAACAGTTATTACCCATTGGATCCAGGACGAAAGATTGTGATTTCTGATGCTCCTTTCCTTCAGGCTATCAATAAAATATAAGATTTTAATTTCAAAACGGAAGAGCGGAAATGTAAAACAAACTGGATACATACTGGTTAGCCCTCAGGCGTACAGTCATGCGGAAATCAAGTTTGTCGCGGTCGAAAACATATGCCGTTGCTGCTCCAATACATTAAAGACGTTTTCTTTCAATAGATTATTACCCAAAAGTCCTTATAAACTTGTATGTCCTTTAAAGAGATAGGGCTATATTTGCCTTGCTACTGGGGGGCCATACAAAAAAACATTGAAAACTTTTGCCTTTTCAGGTTTCATTCATTTAATTAATATAAACAATACAGGCCGGCAGTGAAAAAAGGATGTAATCTATCTGTTGACTCCATTTTACCCATATTCACGAAAAAGGATCAAAACACGAATATTGAATAGCTACACGTCACATATGTATGACGTCAGTCATCAGTCTCGTCACAAGAGCAGCTGATTGCAAAGATTATCACCATTTCTAAGACCAGGAAACTACGAGTACGATATTTTCTCAATACTAAGTAGTACGCACGCGTGGAACAGCGTTATTTTGGCAGGAAAACGAGCCGTCGTCATTCTACTACGAGTTTTAGCGAGAATGTCGTAGTGGTGGAAACAAGCTATCAAAGTTTAGAAGTTTTCTCATTCTGCGATTGGGAGAGGGCTTAACCTCCTTTCAATAAAAATATATGTACTACTAACTGTTCTGGTAAAAAAAAGTACAATAAAGCTTTACAGGGTGTCTATTTTTTTTAAAAATACGCGAAAACGAATTCAAGTAAAATGTCGTCTGCATAGCGTAACTCACTCCAATTAAAGAACACATACCACAACCAGAAGTTTTCTTATCACAGCATCTCCAGCCGAATTCATGTAGCTGTTGCCAATTTTAATTTGAAGAATGGACGACACTTGTACTTCAATCTCACCAATTCTCTTGGGAACAATAGGAACTGCTACAGATCTTGCGTCATTGGCTGGTACGTCAACCTTTCCAATCAAAGCGAGTTTATCGTCCGCAGCAATAGAGCAGAAGTGTTTGTCACCTTTGATATATAGTTTTGCCTGACGAAAGGAAAGCAAAAACGGTAAAACATAGTTATTAAAGAGAAAGTCAATGGTTATGAAACCCGTTGGACTCCTTTGCTTTGTGTTTTCGTTGGCTTTTTTGGACCTGAACGTGCACAACGTTCAATATCATTCCTATCATTTTGAACTTACTGACCAATAGAAACATTGCAATAATTTATTCAGTTACAATTTGTGAACAATAAACAAAGGATTGTGCACGGTCAGGGAGCTTCCAACATTAACTACAGCACCGTTGTTTACAACTTTGATGTTTGCTGGCTTTCATAACCAGTTTCCTCTACTAACTATGGGTAGAATAAGAGATTAAAGGGCCATTTGAAATTGTGTTCACTATCCCAATGATTGAGTTTGTGAGCATTTTATGGCAGTGACCGCCTGGCAGCTGCATGATCGATTACATTGCCTTATTTTAAATCATCGCCCCTATCACTGGCCTGTGAAAACATCCGTTTCTCCTCGCTCTTCGTAGCTGGGGACGTTTCGCACGAAACGTCCCCAGCGGCGAAGAGCGAGGAGAAACGGATGTTTTCGCAGGCTACCCTATCACTCACATTGTCAATTTTACTGTATAATTACAAAAAAGTGCAGGTACATTTAGGATACATTGTTAAATCTTGGATTGTCCCCTGGTTCTTTATACGCCGAATTATTCTTCATCACAATCATTATCATTAATGTTTAATTAGTCTGAAGAAAAATGGCAGGGTAACATTTAAGTTTATTAATCAAAGGCAATCATTTCAATAAGTTCATTAATCAAAGGCAACAGCTGAAACTAACTTAAGATGCTTTAAAATACTACAAAAATAGAAATTTAACAAGAAAAATATGTTTTTTCCCCACGCCTACCCGCATCTCCTGGTCGTGGTAATTGAAGACTGTTGCCAAAAGGGAAACTTGTTCTCCTCTTTTGACTGAGTATGGCAACTTGAGAGAGATAAAGTATTCCCTGAATCCCACAATTCTAAGTGGTGTTGCTAGTCCCAGGCCTGTTTTGTTGTTGATAGCCACGGCCTGCATTACCCATGTGGTTATAGTGTCTGGTATTGTAACATCCATCTCAACAAGTCCTCCGCGGCTGTGGGTTACGAACAATATACTCAAATGAATTACGGACGGCACACCATAACGTAAGTTTAAGATGGCCAAAGTTAGGATTTTCCCACCAAACTAGAATCCTGTCTTAAGTGTAGGTGCCTTTTTGAGCTTGTAATCTCATAATAATATAAAGAATATGGTGTTACATCTGCGACAGTTAGGTTAAAGGTAAGAGCATTTTTTCTATTGTTCTGTTCCTAAGGATAGTGAGCCCGCATTCATTAGAGACCTTACGGGCTCTAAGGCCTAGTTCAACGTCGAACTTATACAGTTGACTCCCGATAACTCGAACCCTCGTTAACTCGAACCTCGCGCTAACTCGAACCAAAATCGATTTCCCCTGGATTTCCGTTATACATATACTGTAATTTTACCCTCGGTAACTCGAACCCTCGATAACTCAAAACTCCCGCTAACTCAAAGTAATTTTTGTTCCCCCTCAGATCATTTCTACATAATTTTACCCCCGATAACTCGAACCATGTTTTGAGCCCTTAAAAAGTCGGGAAAAAACAGTGTACTGCCTCCGAAACATTGAATTTTGAATTTCCCATTGACCTGTTGTAGGCATATAGTTTACTAGTGGATCGATAGTGGAGGCTGATGTTGTTTGTCACAAATCTAACTTGAAATAGCTTTACTTCTCAAAAAGTAAAATGCATGCTCTATTTGGGCAACGTTTTGTTACTTTACGTTCTGATTTATAATTTTTTTAAGTATCTTTGAATTTTCACTCAACATTTCTACAATTCTGTCGTGATTAAATGTGATTAAAATGCTCACCGTGCAGTAAAAACTGTTTTTTACCTTACTCTCGGCTATTTTCCTCGATCTCCCGATAACTCGAACCTTTTTCTATTTCCCTTGAAGGTTCGAGTTATCGGGAGTCGACTGTATGTACCAGACTTAATTGTAAATGCTTATTTGGGTCGACCAAAATGGTCTAAGTTGATTCAGACGTCGAACTTCACTGGTCAGACTCAAATCATTTTTCTAGTAATGTATGCATTAGGTTCGGCACATGAAAAGATCGACGTTTGAAGCGAAGTTGCTCCACAGTTCAAATAGAGTACTAAAGTGTGACGTCATAAAAATGAAATTTCTGAAATTAGGGGATTTGTCAGGATATTCTGAAAGAACAATGTCCAAGAGGCCTACTTGCCAAAAATGAGCATTTCGGGGCAAATTGTCTCTGAGATCGTACCCCAGTTATGCTTAGAAAACTCCATACAAACCCTTGTAAAATTTTTTTGGGTCAATCCATAAAAAAACTAGAAGGGTTTGTATGGAGTTTTCTGAGTATAACTGGGCTACTATCTCCGAGACAATTTGCCCCGAAATGCTCATTTTTGGCAAGTAGGCCTCTTGGACATTGTTCTTTCAGAATGTCCTGACAAATCCCATAATTTCAGAAATTTCATTTTTATGACGTCATCACTTTAGTACTGTATTCCCATGTGGGCCACTCGATCTTAATTCATGGGTCGACACAAGTTAAATTTGTGGGACTTAATTGACTCAAACATTCATCATTTCATGTACTTAATTGAAAGGATTAGATTCGTTACATGAACGAGTCCTAAGATGAGACCCCAGGAAAGAGCAGTTCCTTACTAGTTGCAATTTCTCATACGTAGAAGTACTCAGTCAGTAACTAGTGGTTTCATCAAATGGCTACTACCGCAGGGAGTCATTCCAAAAAATCGAGTTCCTAATTAGTTCCAGGGGCACCCGACGGCTGTTCTCTGTAAAATATCTGTTCGGAGAAGCAAATATTGCCTAGAATTTTCTATTAGATTAGGACGGCCAAAAATTTCTAGATGACTGTTCCATGTACAAATTTCGAAACTTATCTAATAAATCCCCTACGATTTTCTAAAATTTAATTTTTCACATTTCACTCCTCGGGTTAGGCTATTTTTCGTAGAAAAAAGGAAACCTAAAATTTTCGGATTCAAAAATGTGCGGATGAATTAGCAAAATTATCACTTTCGTAACACGTTAAATTATATCTAAAATTTACGGTGAAATAAAAACTGAAGCCCTTGTAATTTCAAAAAGACTCAAGTTCCCCTAGGATGACCGAACAGATACAAATTTTTATAGCTCCTCTTAGAATGCATTTCTAGAGATCTAAAAGTACTCTGGATAGCATAAAAAGTGTTTTCAACGCATTTAAGAGGAAACAGCCGCTGGGTGCTCCTCCATTAATCGCTTAAAACACTAGCAGTGGAGCCTTTACTTTCCATGCGCCACTTTTACAAACGAAGAAGGAAACTGGGCTGAGTTAGCTTTCGCAAAGATTTCTGGGACACGCCGGTCAACTATTGCCCATTTTTCCCCTGTGCCAATGATGTTTGTTTTTCAGTGATTTTTTTATTTTTTTGCAGAAAGCTTGATTTCGAGCAAAGACTAAATGTGAATGTATCCGCCGAAAGCCAAAACAAAGTGGCCGTTGCTAAAAGGTGACTGAAGGTGGCGGTTCGACTATATTTCCAATCTAATTCTTTGGGTGCGCGAATGTTTTTTCTTCCTCTGTCATAAAATCAAAGGTGGCGGCTACAACAAAACGAACATAAACAAGCAGCTTTGGCCCACCCAAGATAAGCTCGCACTACAGGTTATGAACGTAGCTGTAATTTTATCAAGTCCCCTCTTACCCTACAACTTTTTCATCGTAGATCCAGGTCTCTGGGAAGAACGATCTCACTTGTGTTTGGTCGAGGATTTCCTCATCACTGGGACCAAAGTCACCGTCGCCAAATGCATTTCGCCCAAGCAGCGCCATATCTGGTGATAATAAGCAAAAGACCAATTTCGACTTTTTTATAAATTAAAATTCATACTTGGCGGCGAAGCTTGGTGGAATGAACAAAAGAAGTCTTCTTACGGCTCAGCAGTGAATAATACATTTCTTTTTTTTTTCCAAGCCTCGGAGCCAAGTATGAATTTTAATACACGTATATCGTAATTGGTCAATTACTGGATGAGGCTGAGTATTATCTAATTATAGATTGAGATCGGGGAGGATGTTATTCACCAAGGTCAATTTCAACAGTTCCTTAGATCATAACTGGAAAACTCACGAATCTTGTAATTGTTTTATTTTTCATTCAAAATATCAAGAATCCTTCACTTCTACATATGTTCTTGTCTTAACGTTCTAGCTATGTAACAACTAAGTTAATTTACCTGCCGTTCCGTACAGGCTCGTACAGCATTTCCAGAATTCTCTTCTGCACTCTCTGTTGGGCAGTCCTAAACGGCTGTCATAAGCTAGCTTGACGCACGTCTTATTTGTGGGGTTAGTTTTACCCATATCGCAGCATGCCTTCATCATCTTAGCATCTGGTAAATCAACAACACGAATTCGTTTACGGGACATTACTGTCAAACTATGCCTTGTTTTCCTTTTAACCTCGCCGAGATTCCTTTGATCGCAACATGGTTCGATTTACCCGTTGGTTGAATCTTCGGTACTTTGGCACACAAACGTTTCAAAACTTTTCGGATGATTTCGTATCGTTATAGGAAAATTATGGAAAAAAGTGAAAAGTATGATTTGAGGATACTGAAGTCTAAAATTTATAGTAAAGTGTGACTTAATTAAACCCTTTCGCTTCCAGAGTGAATGTTAGAATGGTGTCCTGTGAGGTGGTACATTATAGGAAGTTGTAAGAATTTAACTGTACATCAACCACCACCATAGCAAGGTACCCATGAGCCAGTTTAGAGAAATTGTTTGGTTATTTGTGGTCTGTCACTGTTAATATTCCCTTTCTCCCCTTCCAACGTGTTACCTCCTGCACCATCACCAGCACTTCTTTTCTTTCGCGAGCTACCATCGCCACAGCCGTAATCTGAGAGAAAAATGTAATGAATGAATTAATGAATGTTAAACGAACGAACGAATGAAAAGATGCAATAAATGGATGGATGGATGGATAGATGGGTGGGTGGGTGGATGGATGAATGGATGGATGGGTGGGTGGGTGGATGGATGGATGGATGGATGGGTTCGATGGGTGGGTGGATGGATGGATGGATGGATGGATGGATGGATAGATGGGTGGGTAGGTGGGTGGATGGATGGATGGATGGATGGATGGGTGGGTGGGTGGATGGATGGGTGGGTGGGTGGATGGGTGGGTGGGTGGGTGGGTGGGTGGGTGGATGGATGGATGGATGGATGGATGGATGGGTGGATGGATGGATGGGTGGATGGATGGATGGATGGATGGATGGATGGATGGATGGATGGATGGATGGATGGATGGATGGTGGGTGGGTGGGTGGGTGGATGGATGGATGGATGGATGGATAAATGGGTGGGTGGATGGATGAATGGATAGATGGGTGGGTGGATAAACGGACGGACGGATGAATGATGGATAGATAAGTTGTAACAACTCGGAAGTTTCAATAAAAGCTTCTTGGTCAGTAATGAGTTTCAGCGTAAACAACCACAGAAGATCATATTTTGAAGATGCTCCGACTTACAAGAAAACGTAAATAAGGGAGGAGTTTGAAAACTCAATGGATACATAACGCTTGAGAGGAAACAGCTTTCAACGTTTCAATTCTAAAAGATGTGATGTGGGAGAAGCTGTTTCCAATGGATCTAGCCTGAGAGCAAGCTCTTAATTTTGGGATGCGCGAGAAGTCACGCAAAAACCGCTCTGGCGTTGTCTCGCGGCACGCTTCGCTCGCCATTATTAAAAGCTTGCTCGCAGGCCACAATTTACCATGATGTTATCAATATTTTCCGCACCTTTTCGTCCATCTATCTCGCTAACGCCATTTGCAGTCATCAAAACAACACCAGCATTCTTAAAATAAAAACAACAACAACAATCAGTGTTTTGTGATTCTGCAATGGAGGAAAGAAGATTTTTTTTAAAAAAAAACATGTGTTGTTAATAGAATGATTCAAATTTGCCACCAGTATCTTTGCTAATAATATCTCCTAAAATTATTTTTGTAGCTCTGATACTAACCTTGAAGACATCATTGTTGTTATTTCCTCCGCCTACACCGCACCCAAGGTCGAGAGCCTCCGCAGTTTTGAAAATCTGTGCGAATGATTAACAATGAGCAAATTTAATTAGAGACTCAAACAGCGGCTGCAAAGACAGATTTGAAGCCACATTGATTAAACTGAGTAGTCTTTTGAATCTAGTAGAAGAATAAATCTAGCCCCTCGGTACTCGGGACAAAGACAATTTTGTATCACATCTCCTACATATACATCTTGGAGCTATTCTTCCAAACTCTTTACACCCCTCCGTATGTTAAGACGTTGATTTTCAGTAATATGAGAAACATTGAGGATTAAATGTCATGTAAGGACCTCTAACCGCGGCCGAACTAACTCAGTGGACAGAGAGCTTGACTGCAGAGAGGGTCAGGTCGTGGACTATATCCTAAGAGTCGAAACAATACTCGGGATATTAAAATATCTGAGAAATGATCGATGATACTGCCTTTTCCTTGGCTTGGATGACGACAGTCCCGTCTCCACTAGGAGACGTAAAAACAGTGTGTGTGACTATAAGTACATTCAAATAAATAAAGTACATTTTTCTTTCTTTTTTTTTTCAATTGGAAAACCAACAAAGTAAAGTAAAATGACGGGAAGTGAAGTGAATAATAATAATAATAATAATAATAATAATAAGCAAAAGTCGGCACTCCTTCCATCGGCACATATCCTCTGAAAGGTGCTGGAAGTCTGAGGTCTCGGGATGAGACTTGACTGGATATTTCTCCCCAGAGAAAATCCCTGTGTTAAATTTTACCTAATAATATGTTAAGTACAGTTAAGGCTCTCTGTGAGTTCGGAGACAGAATTCTCGGACCTAGTACTTTGCAGCTATAGTACTTACTCGCTTTTTTGTGAGCCTGTTGTCATTTCGCAACAGGTAAACACTTTGGTCCACACTGAGGAGTCCCAATCTCGTTCCTTGAGGAGCCTTAATGCCCAATCTGTATGGCAATCCTGGTTGTATTTGGACTTCGTTAAGTTGAACAGATGAGCCATCCGGTTGAATTTTGTAAGCATCAGGGAAAGTAACCTAGATAACAAGAGAAAGTAACAAGACGATTCATGCCATGTAAAGGAATTCGGATTTGAGAATTTGGGAATCCCGAATCCTGGGCTTTGGAATCTGGAATATAGCTCAAGGAAAGACTGGAATTTTTATCACCTCAGTTGGAAGACTGTCTTCAACTTCAAGCAGAACGCTGTCAGCTACAGCGTTTCCATTATCGTCAATGTAATAGCCAATCAGACGCGCCGATGGAGACATTTGTGGAGATATACGGAAGGACCAGCTTCTGAACATCCCATCAAATGGATCCGTTGTGTTGTGGGAGAGAATCCGACCTCGAGATACCACCTGAAAAAAGAAAAGAACAAAAAAACTTTACACTCAGTGAATATATTTTCGACGAACAAGGAGGAATGATTGATTCAGTGATTTTAACACGGCAAAAATAACAATCTCCTTTCCCAATAGCGGTTAATGACATGACGTCGAGGCGGCCATATTGATGCATCGCAAACAAAGTGACGGGGGCCATTTGGTGTACCAAACTATTAAAAGCTGAACTCTATTCCTATGTTAGTCTAACAATTTTTTTCCTCCAATAGACTTAATTCACGATACCCGCCATCTTTGCACGCCCCTTAAGACTGATGGGAACAATGTCACGTGGCTTTTTAGATGCACAACGTGTTAATGGCTGTGCAACATGATATGATGTTGCCTGTGTAATCAAAATTTTAGAGTGCAAATGGGCATTAGGTGTGTAGTTTTAAATAACTGAAACATGTTGAAATGCAATTATGCCTATCAAAATGACACCTAACGTCTTTTTTGATAGGGAAACAGCTGCATAGGAGTAATTTACATTCATTTTTGTTCTTACCACAAAAGATAGTCTTTTGGGACCATCGTTGACATTTCTATAACTTTCACACTGTATTTTGCGACCAACCTATGAATAAAACAATTCAGCATTTTTATTGAGTTGGAATAATAACTAAGTAGTTGATGCCATTCCATTGTTCATAAATACAGTAGTTTGGTCCCAGAAATACCAAAAATCATACATTCCCTACCTCTATAATACGGACACCTCTGTAAAGTAGACACTTGGTTGTGTCCCTTTGGCGGAACTTCTCAAAATCATAGACAACGATATAGAACAAAACCCGCGACTA